ATGTCTCTAGATGAGCACCGTCGCATGCGTAAACCATGATCAACTGTTCCCTTAACATACCTGAGTACCCGTTTGAGCTGCTCCCAGTGTGATATGGTGGGGGCATGCATATGCTGGCATAACTGATTAACTGCAAAGGATAGGTCAGGTCGTGTGACAGTGAGATATTGCAGTGCTCCAGCTAAACTCCTGTACTGTGTGGGATCATCATATAGATCTGAATTGAAGGGGACAGTTTTCGAGACAGAGATAGGTGTAGAAAGGGGTTTGCATTCAGACATTCCAGCCCGTTTTAAAATATCATTCATATACCGTTGTTGAGATAAAATAATCCCATTGTCACTCTTAACTGTTTCAATACCCAGAAAAAAATTTGGTTCACCAAGATCTCTGATTTTGAATGTAGCAGACAGTTTGGACAAGAGCTGAGACATAATACCTTGATCACTTCCCATTACAAGAATGTCATCCACGTACACCAATAGATAAACCAAAGCAGAGTCTTTAGAGTAATAGAACAGAGAGACATCTGTCTTGGATGCTTGAAAGCCAACCGATAGTAAGAACGTATGTAGTCGATTAAACCAAGCTCTAGGAGCTTGTTTTAACCCATACAGAGATATTTTTAACAAACAAACATGATTCGGGAAGTTAGCATCAATATAACCAGTGGGTTGCTTCATATAAACTGTTTCAGCCAGATTACCATTCAGAAAAGCATTATGAACATCTAGCTGTTTGATAGACCACCCAGATGATAAAGCTAGAGATAGAAGGAGTCTTACAGTCGTAGGCTTTACCACTGGACTAAAAGTGTCGAAGAAGTCCTGACCTGGAACCTGATTAAAACCTTTCGCAACCAGCCTGGCTTTATGCCTTTCAATAGCACCATCAGCCTTTCTCTTCGTACGAAATACCCATTTACAGCCAATAATATTCATACCTGCAGTGGGTGGAACTAGAGACCATGTGTGGTTATGCAGGAGAGCATTGAATTCTTGGTCCGTGGCTTCACGCCACTCAGGATATTTGACAGCTTGAGAGTAACATGTGAGTTCCGTGGGATGCACTTGAGCTGCTAGAGCAAAAAGATGAGCATTTGCGTTGCTGCGAGTGGCCATAGAATGAGTACGGACATTGGGCCTGATGGACCGCCCACGTGGACGGCCTCGCCGGCGAGCAACAGGCTCCACAGGATCACCCGACGAGGCAGCCTGTCCAGGAACCACGGCTGGTTCGAATGAAGCAGGTAGCGGCGGTTCTGGCAGCTCATCATTGGACACGGCAGGAATAGGTGTGCTATGACTGAGAACAGATTCCGCCCAAGGTCCAGAAAACGGAGTAGATAGATCCTGCAAAGAAGTTTTAGTAACAAAGGGGAAAACTTCTTCATCAAATCTGACATGCCTGCATGTGTAAATCTTATTAGTATGTAAGTCCATGCATCTGTACCCCCTAAAGGACTCAGGATAACCTAGGAAGACACATGGAGAAGACCTGTATGACATCTTATGACGATTATATGGTCGAAGATGAGGGTAGCATAAACACCCAAAGACACGAAGAAAAAGATAGGAAGGAGGGGATTTATGTAACAGGAGATGAGGACTGGAGTTATTTAATACAAAAGATGGCATTCTGTTAATTAAATAGACAGCAGTCTCAAAGGCAAAATCCCAAAATTTCAAAGGAACAGAGGCATGAGCTAGAAGAGCCAGACCAGTTTCAACAATGTGACGATGTTTTCGTTCAACACGACCATTCTGTTCATGTGTATAGGCACAGGATTGTCTATGTTGAATTCCTAATTGAACAAACAAAGAATGCAACTTTTTGTACTCAGCACCTAAATCAGACTGAATGGCCTTTATTTTGCAATTAAAGGACCGTTCAACAAGAGTACGAAATTTATCAAAGATGACATAAAGATCAGACTTTAATTTCATAGGAAAGAACCATGTATAACGGGAATAGTCATCCACAAAGATCACAAAATAACGGAAGCCAGAAGTAGATAAAGTGGGCGCAGGACCCCAAATGTCTGTGTAAATAAGATCTAGGACTTGAGAACTAGAGGAAGCAACACGGGGAAGGGGAAAACGGGCAGATTTGCCTAATTGACACGCATTGCATAAAGAATTATGACAACGAATATTATCACGAGACCCACTAACCAAACAAGAACGAAGTATATGGCTAAGAACACGGTTATGAGGATGACCTAGACGATTGTGCCAAGTGGAAGCCGAGGCACGAGCGGAAATAAACGCTGACGGAGACGAACTAGGTAATGAAAGTGTGTATAGTCCCCCGAACTATTGCCCCGAAGAAGTATTTCCTTGGTATTGATATCTTTTACAACAAAAAAGGAGGGGTGAAACTCAAAAAAGACTTTATTATCGGATGCAAACTTCTGAACAGATAATAAAGAATTAGACAAACGCGGAACGTGAAGTATATCAGACAATGTAAATGATCTAGAAGGGGTATTAAAAGAGGCATGGCCAACATGACTAATAGATAAACCCATACCGTCACCGACACGTAAAGTGTCATTACCAGTGTACTTCTCCGATGTAGAAAGGGCAGCGATGCTCGGAGTTGCATGATTTGTGGCTCCAGTGTCCATAACCCAAGTATGAGAATTTGACGAGGTTTTAGCAACTAAACCATTCTGAAACACCAAATTAGCCTGAGAACCCGGAGCCCCTGAATATCGCCGAAAACAGTTGACTCCCGTGTGACCGAAACTTTTGCAAATTTGACACGGATCATTATAGCGCCAAAAACAATTGGCTCCCGTGTGACCAAAACGTTTACAAATTTGACACGGATCATCATAGCGCCAAAAAAAATTGGCTCCCGTGTGACCAAAACGTTTACAAATTTGACACGGATCATCATAGCGCCAAAAACAATTGACTCCTGTGTGGCCGAAACCTTTACAGATTTGACACGGATCATCGAAGCCACGTTGCTGACCTCCACGGTAATTAAGGTTGTCATCGCAGCGCTGCATCTTCTTAATTTTATGAATCACAAAACCCTAGCTAACTGATACCAGATGAGAACTGATTGTATTATATTTTCTGAACTTGATTACAATGAGATCATATGATGTGAATATATAGAATAGAGAGTCACAGTGTGACAATGATAAGAAGTAGAGAGTCACAGTGTGACAAGGATAAGAAGTTCTAAACAGACTCATATACATAGAGTTCTAATAGTAACGGTGTGTGGGTATTTTAGGAAATTTTAGTGTAAAATTTAAATCTTATCAATCTTTTAATTAATCTGAGCCATTCATTTGATTAAAATCTGTGACCGCCATTTTTTCTACCCATTATAGGCCTAACTCTCTTGGGCTCTTATTAGTACAGTAGATTTTCTTACAAAACATTTATAATATATAATAAAAATTTTTTATTATGTAGTTCTTCACCCACATCAACATTCTCAACATTATTATTTTTATCCATAGTACGTTGAGACTTATATGCTAATTAATTAATTATATATATATATATATATATATATATATATATATATATATATATATATATATATATATATATATATTATAAATATTAGATTTTTATTTTTTTTTATTTTATGCAACTTGTAATTATATTTTTAAATGTCTATTTGATCAATTCTTTTATTATAAATTTTATTATTCAATATTGTTATGAATTTCTAACGAAATAATTTTTTTTATTTTTATTAATATATATATATATATATATATATATATATATATATATATATATATATATGAAAAATTATACTTGATATATTCCTAGGCATCACGCAAAGAAATATTATTTGCAATAGTAATTTGAGACTGCGAACAACAACAAGGTGTTACTATTTACAACCCCAAATTGTTGTTGCGAACAGTAGTTCGCTATTCGTAGTAAGTTGTTGTTAAAAAAAAAAGGAAAAATATATATTACGAATATAAACATAAAATGAATAAAAATCAAAATATATAAGTATTTATATTAATATTTTGAAACATATATTAAAATTTGATGATGAAAAATTTGCTTTGTTCATGTATTTAGGGAGAATTAGAGAAAGTTAGGGATACAAAATTCATAGAAAAAAATAAAAATTAATATAAATAAGCAATAATGAAGTAAAAATAATATTATTTCGAACTTTTAGAGGAAGATTGTAAGTTTAGGGGCGAGAGAAAAATTGGTAGAGTTTAGGTATGAATAAGATAATGAAGAAAAAAATAATTTTATTAAATTTAGATAGGTTTATAAAGACTTTCAAAAAAAAAAAAAAAAGATAGGTTTATAAAGTTTAAATTGGAAGAAAAAATAGAGTTTAAATAGAGAGAGAATATTCAAAGTTGTTAGAAAGAAAATTTTGAAATCTGGGGTTTGATGGTTGGATTTCAACTATTTATATTTGAGAAGAAAAAGTATACAAAAAGTCTTAAAATTAAAAAGTCTATAAAAAGTTCATAACTTTTTTAATACCACATGACTTTTAAAGAATCTCTAGAAGTCTTAATTGAATATCACACGACTTTTAAAGACTCTTTAAAAATCTTGATTGAATAACGCTAGACTTTTAAAGACTCTTTAAAATTTTGAATTGAATACCTCCAAACTTTTAAAATTCATAAAAATCTTTAAAACTCTATGAAGTCATGATTGAATACAACCCCTTAGATTATTTATTCCATAATTATTTCAGATAAGCTTCTAGAATATTAATGAGGTGAACTGTCGTGAAAATGGTCACTGGCCCCATCATTATATTTTTAAATCGAAAAAGGTTTGTAATACTCATGAAGTAATAAGGCCTATTCGTCGTTAATAATATTTTAAGAAAGGTTGGTCAGTTGGTTCAGTCAAACAGTAAATAAATAGAATGGAGTCAAACTTTACTAGACAAAATTAAATAATGATTGGTTATTAAATTTATCAAACTTTATTTATTTTAATTGTTTATAAAGAGTAAATTATGACATTAATTAAAGGCAACAATAAGATTTCCTTGTATGTATATGGTAGAAAGCAATCTAGTTCATCAGGTTACCTCAATGAATTTCACTCTGCCAACCATTGTAGCAACTTTGGCTACCACTTTTCTACTAATCACTTTAATCTACAACCTCGTATTTCACAAAGGTTCGACCCAAGAACCACCGGAAGCTGGCGGCGCATGGCCAATAATTGGCCATCTCCACCTCCTCGCTGCCCCTCGAGCCACCTTCAAAATCTTGGCCGACATGGCTGACAAATACGGGCCTATATTCCGAATAAGGCTCGGCTCGAAACAAGTCTTGGTGGTGAGCGACTCGCGAATCGCCAAAGAGTGCTTTACAACTAACGACAGAGCGCTCGCAGGCCGGCCCAAGGCCTTAACTTCGGAGATCATAGGATACAACTACGCTATGTTTGGGCTGAGTCCGTATGGTGAGTACTGGCGCCATGTCCGCAAGGTTGTGGTGCTCCAGCTGCTCTCCAACCGCCGTCGGGAGACGCTCATGCGGGTTTGGGAATCGGGAGTAAGATTGTTTGCCCAAGACATCTACCGAAGCTGGCTAAGGGACAAGAATGAATCCGAGGTTGTAAAGCTGGACATGAAGGAGTTATTTGGGAAACTAATCATGGACGTCACGATGCAGATGCTTTTCGGGCAGCAGTACGAGGAAGAAGTGAGCCGGAGAGTAGTGACGACGGCCCGCCAATTACTTAAACTGAATGAGGTGCCTGTTGTGGGTGATTATCTGCCATGGCTAAGATGGTTGGACATAGGAGGACATAAGAAGGCCTTGAAGGAGACAGCCAAAAAGATGGACAGTATAGTGGAAGGCTGGCTACAAGAGCATAAAAGGAAAATAAATTCGAAATCTAAAGAAGAAGAAGACTTCATGGATGGATTGCTTAAAAGTTTTGATGGTGATGGTGGCGATGGGGATCACAAAGATATTCCTAAAGATTTTGATGCTGACACAATTGTGAAATCTACTTGCATGGTATGTGATGACTCTTTTGTTGTATAGTACTCTGATCTATAGTAAAAATGAAGAGTAGTTTGTCATCAATCATATAAAATTTAGTTGATAGATGATATATAAATATTGCAAACTCAATAGAAAACATGATGGGTATACCAACTATTTATCTAATGTTGTCATTTATGTGTGTGGGAGCAACCTCTCAAAGTAAGGGGGGTCCTCTAGCCTCTATGGTTCATGTTCAGTTGAGTCACCATGATTTACATCCTCCCAAATGCTCTGTCGGGTCGGGGTGTGGGGGGCCTTACGGTTGGGGTTCAGCCTTTTGGAAGAATGTTGTCATTTATGTTATTATTTGCTCTTTTATGGCAGGGTATGCTATTAGCTGGTACCGACACAACTACTACAACATTAATATGGGCGCTCTCTTTAATATTAAACAATTCTCTTGTGCTAGAGAAGATTCGGGCAGAACTAGACATCCATGTTGGAAGGAAAAGACATGTGAACCAGTTTGACCTAAACAACTTGATTTATCTTCAAGCTGTGGTGAAAGAAACTTTACGTTTATATACTCCTGGTCCTCTCTTACTGCCCCATGAATGTATTGATGATTGCGTGGTTAATGGTTACAACATTCAAAAGGGTACACGGCTATTAGTGAATGTATCTATGATTCATCGAGATCTAGATATTTGGTCAGATCCAAATGTGTTTAGGCCAGAAAGATTCTTGAATGAATACAAGGATATTGATGTTAGGGGCAATCATTTTGAACTAATACCATTCGGGAGTGGAAGGAGAGTGTGCCCTGCGATTTCGTTAGCCCTACAAGTTATGGAGTTGGTATTGGCATGTCTTATTCATGACTTTGATTTAAAGAGAATTTCAGATGAGCCTATTGACATGATAGAGATGGTCGGGATGACCAACAAAAAGGCAACTCCCCTCCATGTTTTTCTTACCCCACGCCTGTCTTCGCATCTTTACGGTTGAGCTGCTTAATTATGGAATTGTATAGTAAGTACTATCTTTCATGGCGTTTTATTATAATTCGAGTAGTTAAAAAATTATGTTGTAATTGAATTATAACTACATCCAACCAAACAACCCATGCATAAGAGTGAGATTTGGGGCAATCCAATGCCGTTCCTAAAGGTAGGGAAGAAGGGTGTTGACCATCAATCCATAAGAGTATAAGACATGGATTCAGATCTCATAGAAATTATAAGGCTCTGAGCTACAGTTAGAGCTTAGTCTCTACATTGCATTTAATACCACTTTTTGTTTGTTTGTTTGTTTTGTTTTATTTTGTTTTGTTTTTGTTTGTTTAATTTTTGTTGTTGCAATATGCTGGTGTTAAGAACATATGTGTGTATCCTGTGAACATTAATTTAATGTATTGCCGTATTGGTGTATGATCATTGTGCTTATATATATGCCATAAGCGTGAATATTATCAATAGTTATGCTGTACATGGTGCACACGTTGCAAAACAACGTCGTATTGATTAAAAACATGCATCCCATTAAAAAAAAAAAAAAAAGTTTTGATTTCCTTCAACAACATTATTGTGGATATATAGTTATGAATTATTGTGGATATATAGTTATGAATTTATGCATATTTAGTTCATTCATTGTGGATGTTTAGTTCATTCATTGTGGATATTTAGTTCATTCATTGTGGATATTTAGTTCATCCATTCTGGATTTTGTGTTATTCATTTAATGTGGATATATAGTTATGAATTTGTGGATATATAGTTATGAACTTGTGGATATATAATTCAAATTATACAAAAAAAAAAAAATGTTATTGCCAAAAATCGAACCTGATTTTTTTTTAAAGTAGAACGCGCGTTTTTAATCAAAATAACGTCGTTTTTGCAACCGTGTGCACCATAGTTGCACAACATAATTTGCCGAATATTATCGTGGACATCATTCCAATTCTATCTGTTCATTACTATATGATATATATATAATCAAATAAACATTATATATATAGACTTGCGCTTGGGGCAATGACGCAGCTAGTGAGGTTCTAATCGAGGCGCGTCTTTTGCTGGTTGAAAACTATTTCCAAACTCCCTCTATTGCTTAGGTTCGCCCTAAGCCTTAGAGAATATTTAGAAGGGTTTCCTTATATCTAAAAAAATATATAGACTTGCGTTTACCTGATGAGAACATCTCCCTCATTAGAACGTGAGATTTAATCTAAACCAATAAACCATAGAAATCAAGGAATCAAAAGCTAAAATTTAAGATTTGACAATAATTAAATACCTTAAAATAAGGAGTATAAACTGGGTAAAGCTGCCTACTATGGGGCATATGATTACGGATTGTTATGCTGTGCAATCGTGTACACCATGCATGGTACATACGGGTCTAAATTCATAATATTTATACTGTAAATTTATAATTTCTATAAAGTATATTCATAAACTCTATACTGTATATTCATAATTTTTGAACCGTAGATTCATAATTTAAATACAGTAGATTCATAATTTCTATAAAATAGATTCATAATTTCTATACTGTAGATCCAAAATATAGTTCTTATAGGAAAAAAGGTCAAATAGGCCTTCGAACTTTATTGAAAAGTCAATTAGACTTCTAAATTTTATAAAATTGCAATTAAACTCATCAACATTTTTTTGGTGCAATGAAGCGCAAAAACCGATTAGTGACATGTGATAGTAGGTCACTAGGGTTCTGGCAACTTTTCGGCGACACTCTGACCTACTCCGGTGCCATTATATTTCCGACGACAATAAAGCAACCAGAAATTGATGAACAGTCGTCGGTCACCACTGAAAAATGAGACCATGATCGCCTTCTCTAGTGTGAGAAGGCTTGAGAAAGAGACCACTTGGTTCCCTTCTTCAGTGAAAAGGCAACCCGGGGTTGCCTTTTCACACTGGAGAAGGCGACCATAGTCGCTTTCTTCAATGGCGACCGGTCGTCGGTTGCTTTGTTCTTAGAAATGGCGTTGGAGTAAGTCGGAGTACGTGTATGTCGCTGAAGGGTTGCCGGAACTCTAGTAACCTACTATCACAAGTCACTAACCGGTTAATGGGCTTTATTGCACCAAAATAAAATGTTGAAACAAGTGCAAAAACCCATGAAAATATGTCAATGGACAACAACCTAAAATATGCACAAAAGAACAAAGAATGCATACTGTAAGTGTACATAGTTTTGTACACATTAAACCTATGATTGGCTAATTTATTTTATAAGTCATAGTCTTAGGTTTAAACAAAAAAAACTCTTGGACCATGGTTATTTATTATAAGAGACTTTTTTTGTGGTTCACAATCAATGAAGAGGAAGTCAGCTATGAATGGTTCAAGCATGGGAATCTAAATTAAATGAGTGGCTGAAAATGAATCAAGCAAAGAATGAAGCTATTCACGTGGATGTTTGATCAAGGGATTAACACTATAAAAGGAAAGGTTACTCATTGTGGAAAGTTGCCTTTTTGAGAGTTATTATTCTGGCAAGTGATTACTACTTACGTATTAAGAAGCTATTATATTATTACTCTGCTGAGCTACTGACTGAGCCTGACTCAGGTGAAGTACTGTTCAAGATTATCAAGGGATGCACGTCACGGTCCAGGTTGGATGTTAGGAAGGTTGTTTGTAGTATGGTAGTTAAGACTGTAAGGGTTTAATGTACCGTTCTATTGTAAAACTCATTGGTGAACATCAATAGTGGATTGGGCTGACGTGGGATGCCCCGCAGACGTAGGAGAAGCGCTCCGAACTGCGTAACAAATCGTTGTGTACTTGATTTACTTACTGCTTTTATTTTCTATTATTTACTATCATTAAATAACAAAAATTAATCGATCAAAATCTAATATAAGTTTAAAAATCAAGTAGAAGTTCAGGTTCAGCTAGTTTAAGGTTCACGGCATAATTTCAATTGGTATCAGAGCTTGGAGACTCAAGTTACTAGTCTTTCGATCTGGCTTTTACGTGTTCCTTTTACGTTCAGCGGTTCATTCTGTTCTTCTTGCTATTACTTTGTTCAATCTCATTTGTTGCTAAGTGTTTCAGAATGGAAAGGTTCAGGCCCCTTCCCCAGCTTACAGGTGATAACTATGCATACTGGAAGGCTCGAACGAGAACTCATCTTAAAGCTCAAGGAGATCAAGTTTGGCGGGCAGTTCTGACTGGTTGGACTCCACCTACAAAACCTGGTGAAAATGACGGTGATCCACCAGTAATCAAACCTGAAACCGAGCGAACTCAAGCTGAAATTACCACTGCTGGATATAACGATAAGGCTCTTGACACAATCTATTCCTTAATGCATGAAAATCAATTTTCGTTGGTTACAGGTATTGATTGTGCAAAAACTGCTTGGGAAATCCTCGAAACCACATATGAAGGTACGAGTTCAGTCAAACAGTCAAAACTCCAGCTGGTAAAAACTGAGTTTGAAGAACTACGTATGAATGAGGATGAAGACATTGCAAGTTTTCATGGACGCTTACAAGAATTAGCAAATCGAGCAACTATTCTTGGAAAACCCTTCTCCCAACAGAAACTTGTCAAAAAGGTCTTACGATCCTTGCCTCCGAGGTTTAGGATGAAGGTAACTGCCATTCAAGAGCATGACGGCTGGGAGGACAAATCTGTAGCTCAATTAATGGGCAACCTTCGAACCTACGAAATGGAAATCCTTACTGATCACACTAAAAAGCAAAAGACGGTTGCGTTTGTAGCTGAAGAACAGGACGACATTGCATCAAATGATGATTCAGTAGCATTTTTAACTAAACAATTTTCTAATTTTTTGAAACCGGTATCTCAGAAGAATACACAAAACAACAAACATAAAAAGGGGACAAGCACCAACGTGCCAAAAACTGGCACAAAAAGTGGCGTGTCAAATTCAAAAAATACTACTTCACGACCAGCTCGCCCCAAAGAAAAGTCAAACAACAAAGGAATAAGGTGTTATGAATGTGAGGGCTTCAGTCATGTTCAAGCTGAATGTCCAACGTATCTTCGACGAAAGAAGTCCATGACAGCCACAACTTGGAGTGATGATGAACCTGAATCAGAAAATGCTGAATCTGACGCAGAAGAAATGTTTGGCAATTTTGTAGCCTTTGCAGCCAAGAGTACGATATGCTCTGAACCTGTAGATGCATCTGATACAGAAGGTGGTGATTACAACTCGGCAGAAGATCTTGACATACCAGATATATCTTATGAAGTAGAGTTTAATAAACTGTATCCAAAATGGGAAGCATTACTTAAAACATATCGTGTAGTGTCTAGTGAAGTTAGAGTTTTGCAAAATGCTGTAAATGTGTTCAAAGGTCAAGTTGCAGACAGGGATGCCTTAATTAAAGACTACACTAACCGAGAAGAAAAACTGCAACAGGAAATCAAGAGACTGACGCTGGAACTGAACACATATATAAAGAGAATCCAAATGATGGATACCACATCAACTCTTGACGAAATCCTTGATTCAGGGCGGCAATCCTCTGCAAGATTTGGTATTGGATTCACTGGAGAAACCAGCAAAGACAAAACTACATTTGTCAAGGCATCACATTCAGAAATTGCTCCTGAGTCAAGCAAAGCTAAAGACTATCGTGAATCAGTTCCTATTTCAGGCTCAGCAAAACAACCACGAGGTACAATACGTCAAAAGTTTCAATATAAGGTTTATAACCCTGTGTGTCACTATTGCAGGTTACGTGGACACATCAGACCTGAGTGCTATTATTTCTACAAAGACCAAATGGTGGAAAAACACAGTCATAGGTTTATCACTCCATTTGTCAAACAGATATGGGTAAAAAAATCTGATTATATTAGCTTTGTATCCTTTCATACTAAAAGTGCAGGTAGGGATGACAAATGGTACTTCGATAGTGGCTGCTCACGCCACATGACTGGGAACGCAAAATATCTATGCAACATTCACGCAAGCAACGGTGAAGTAACCTTTGGAGATGGTGTCAAAGGGCAAGTAACCGGCGTAGGTACTCTAAATGTTGCAGGTCTGCCGAAGTTGAAAAAGGTGCTACTAGTAAACGGACTCCATGCCAACCTCATAAGC